ATATACATATATATACACATATTTATATTTATATCCTCACTTCTCATTGCCGTGATAAAACCTAGAAATTATCGTGATAGATTTTTTAGTCCATACTGCCCATCCCTAATAATCAATATTGAATTATTTTCCAGTACTAACCACAAACTGTGACATTTGTTCCTAAACGTGTACCTGTTATTGTAGTGACCCATTCCCTCAGGAGTGTTTTGATGTCTGTCAGTTCACAGGCTCCGGCCAGCGCTGGAACGGGACGAGGAACTGATGGAGTCACAGATGCTGGGGTCTCTTGTTTTGAGGTGGAGGGATCATTTTCAGTCTGAGAAGAGAAAACATTTGAAAGCTCTTAAAAATCGGTCAAGTTTTAAATCACTAGAAATGTTTTAATAATAAAAAAAACACTTACTTAATACCGTAGTTAAAATTTTGCTTTGACTCACCTTTGGTACATTCATTGGTTCTTGTGGTCGTACAGCAGGAGGTATGGTTTTGGATGGACTCTTTGTCACCTGACGCCTCTTTAGGGGTGAAGTTCCTTTTTTTAGAGGACTAACTCCGTTCTTCCTCTTGTAGCGCCGCTTCACCCGACCGATACCGATCCCTACCCCCGGCTGCTTTAGCTGCAGTAGTGGGTTCTTCTGCTCCACTGCAGGTAAACAAAAAAATGGGTCAAAGCGAAGAACATGATGGTAAAACTGAAATGCACTTAACTGTTGACTCACCTGTTTTGACCTGGGCTTGAATATTAGTTGCACGATTGTAGGCAGACTTCAATTCTTCCTGTAGTTCTTTGGGAAGCGCAGCAAATACATCTGGATCAACCTGCAGTTGCGTAACAGATGTCGAAGGTCATCACTAATAATAAAATGAAGAACCTATACTCCTCAGAAATACTGAGCTAAAAATTAAAAACAAAAATCTCAAACAGCTTCAGTCATACCTGTGAGAAGTTCGGTAACTCCAGAACAATTCCTGGACTATCGGGCTGGTTTGGAATCTGCAGAACCAACGTTCCTGCAGGTGGGTTGTATGGTACGGGATGAGGAGGGGACGCTGAACGAGGATCAGGGGAGGAAATGTACAAATTAAGGGGATGAAAGTTATTCGGCCTCTCCTCTCTTTTAGTCCATGACTGCTCCACTTGCTCTCTGAGCTCTGCAGGAAGGGCCTCAAGGACAGAAAGATCCACCTAACAGACAATTCAGAAACACAATCTATTCAAAGATAGGAAGAGCGATATCTATTCATCTCTCAAGAAAACAAATGATCCAGTAGAAATGCAAATATTTTAACACACATCAGAATTTAACATCTATAAAAAGAAACCTGGTCTTTAAGTAAAAAGAAGAGAGAGACATTAAAAAGGCATCTACTCTAGTCGGCTACATTACCAACATCAAATAAAAACTGTCATCATAAACTTGTGTTTCTGATCTGTCAGGCAGTTCCTTCCAGGATTTACCTGCGAAGGGGATGGAACTTCAATACTGAAGTTGAGACGTGTCCGGGAATGTTTTGGTCTTTTTCTGCACTCTGGATGGTCTTTGCTTGTTCCTGGAAGTGGCTCAGCAGGATGATGTGACGAGCTGCTTGGATGAACCGTTGGATATTGGCGAGTGTCTGCAACAGTTGTAACCGTTATGAAAAATGTACTAGGGTTTCTAGATAATTTCTAGACGATGGCAAAAACTGAATGAGGATGACCAAGCAGACCTTTGTTATTGGACGTGGCACTCAGTCCCTGGCCTAATAACATGTTTTTGATGGAGCGTGTTCGAGGACCCCGGCAGTCATGTGTGACAGACTGATTTCCCTCAAGGAGCTGAACCTGAATGCCGACACCTCTTAGGTCCTTGACCTGCAGCTTCATGGCGTGGAACAGCTTCAAGACAGCAGAGGCGATGAGCTGCCCACTGTCGGTGGACTGAGCGAGCATCACAGTCCTGTCAGTGAGAGAAATGAAAAATAAGCATTTCTCTTTTAAATCTCTTTTTTTAACTTATTACACACAAGACTTCTGATTTTTCTAACCTGGCTAGATTATCACATATGCCATGACCGCCGTATTTAGCAGGTTCCAGAGGTGCTCCGACCTTGCGAACCATGACCTTAAGGGTGACTCTGCGACCCCGCAGTCCAGCTTCTTGTAAACGTCGCTGCACCTCCATCGATAAATTAGTCAGAAAACATTCTGCTTCATCGACCTAGTGAGTTTTAAAACGGGAAGCTTAGGAATGCAACGTTACAAAACAGACGCAGGATAAAACACACACAGCTGCTCCTCTCACCGTGGTAAAGCGAATGTTGTAGTTCATCTCAGCAGAGACAGACTTTCTTTCCTTTTTAAAGCGGACAGGCCGGTCATCCAAACCCCTACAGAAGCGGAATAGAGTTTGCCCAGTGCGGGGTCCAAACTTTTTCTGCAGCTGAGATAAAGACACTTGCTGGAGCTCCCCACATGACTTCACACCCATACCAGCAAGTTTTTTAGCCATAACATGTCCAACGCCTGGGAAAATAAATAAGGATAGTATTAAAATCAAGTATTTAAATCACCATAATGATAATAGACACTAAACAATAATGGGAGTGGAAACATGTAAAATTCATTATCTTTTACCTTTTAAATGTGTTTATTTTGTTGCATTGAACCCAAAATATTAAATTTACAATTGATTCAAAATCTATTTTTATATCAAATTAAATGTAATGTTTTGTTTTATATACCTGGTAAATTGGTCACTGGTAGATCCCTGATAAAATCATCCACTTCTTCAGATCTAAGGAAGTACTGGCCGTTGGGTTTGGCCTTGCGAGTTGCCAGCCGAGCCAACAGGATGTTAGACCCTGAACAGATCAGAGTTTGATCAGACGCGACTGATACTGGTGTACTTTACAGTGTGAGGCAAACGCTGACTCACCCATCCCCACTGAAGCGCTGCACCCCGTTTTCTCCTTGATGTCTGCTCTGATGGCTTTGGCTAAATCATCAGGGCTGACGCCAACCTCAGTGCACAGAGCAGAAGCATCGACCAGCGCTTCATCACAGCTCAGAGCCTCGATGTCGTGGGTGTAACTATAAAGAGCAAATAAAGAATTTATCATTTCAATGGAGAGCAAAAACAAAAAGTGAGTGAAAGAAAGAGCTCAGATTTTTTTTTTTACCTGGCCAGAATTTCATACAGGTTCAGAGCCACCTCTTTATAGGCTTCAAAATCATAAGGGACAGACTGCAATGAGGGACACAGCTGTTTTGCTTTGCCAAAAAACATCCCGTTCTTCACTCCTGCCTGCCTAAAAAGAAAATAAATCCATTAATATTTCACCTTGTTTAGGACAGTCATGATGAGTTTATATCTTACCTAGCCTCATAACTGCATGATGCAATTTCTGCCATTGAGAGAGCTGCAGCCTCCTGGTCTGTACCGGTGCCATAAGAGTCGGGCGTGTCTTGTGAGGGAGTACCAGACAGATCATCATCTGCTTTTCCTGATTAACATTAAATTTAAAGTTGAACTTAATTTAGACATGTACGTGGCTCTATGACAAATATGTTAGATAAAATCTCACCTGGCTGAGTATATTTCCTCTGGTAGTACTCCAGCTCCACCTGCAGGTTAGCTCCAGTTCTTATGGGAACTCTGCCCTGTCCACGGTTACTGGTAACAGCTACAGGCTTCCCTGCAGGAAAACCAGTAATTCAACGAGAAGCAAAAACATTTTTTTAAATATCTGCCAATCCAAGATGTATATATAATACAGTATAAATGAATGTTTTCCAGACAGCACATGTCTGAACACATAAAAGGTGTCTTGCCTTTAAGCTCCGGTTTGTGTCGGATCCCAACAGACACGAAGAAACAGTCCATATCCACGTGAAAGATACAAGATTTAATGCTGCCTGGTGCTGACGTGCCTGACACAAACAAAGATGTCAATTCACTTTTCTGGAGCTCAAAATAAAAACACAGCAATAAATTGGAACATTTTCATTCCCTTAATTTCACAGAAACTACTTTGTTTTCATGTGTTATAATTTAAGAAAAAACTTTCATCATGGGGCATGTCACAGCAGAACAGAGTGATATTTTGATGGAAAATAAACAGTCAAATTTGACCCTAAGGTGACTTCTATTGGGCCTGCTAAATTTTAGTTTTTTTTTTTTTTTTTTGCCTGTCACGGAAGCGGAGGACTTAAAAAATGCTCTCCGCCCTTCTGTCTGTCAGTCCATGATGGGGGACATCAGCAACAGTTGGCATCGAGTTCTATCTTGTTAAAGGGATCCCTGATTAGTTGTAACATTAGACTTTATTTCATAAACATTTATTTTAACTGTAAAATAAAGACTGTAAAAATACTGTAGGATGTTTAGTTTTGTAAATTTTTAAAAATATATTTTAACACGGACAAAGCCATTTTATTTACACACAAAGCATTCTGGGTAAATGATGACGTGGATAGGTCCTCGGTGCGAGGCTGCTAGCGAGCTATATCCACCCTGAAGGTTAATCTTGGACAATATCTGATGATCGACTCTTTTAAATGAAACCAGAGAGCGTTGACAGAGAGGAGAAGGTAGAAATGACTCAGCCTGTAACTGAAAATATAGATGGAGGACAACAGAGCTGCTTCATGGAAGAAGAACCTCAACTTAGCCTGTTAGCCTTCATGTTAGCGTTGACGCTATATTGCCTTATATGTATTAGCTCGGTGCTAGCACGACAAACAAGCTAAACTGAGGTCCTCCATCCATATTTTTCAGTTACAGACTGAGTCGTTTCTACCTTCTCCTCTCTGTCAACGCTCTCTGGTTTCATTTAAAAGAGACGATAGTCAGATATTGTCCAAGATTAAACTTCAGGGTGGATATAGCTCGCTAGCAGCCTCGCACCAAGGACCTATCCACGTCAACATTTACCCAGAATGCTTTGCATGTAAATAAAATGGCTCTGTCTGTGTAATTTTTTTAAACTTTTAGTTTAAAAATTATAAAAACTAAACAGCCTACATACAGTATTTTTACAGTGTTTATTTTAAAGTTAAAATAATATGTTTATTAAATAAAGTCTAATGTTACAACTAATCGTGGATCCCTTTAAACGTATGGTAATTTATTTAAAAAACAAATTATAATCAATGGTAAACTCTAAATTTATGATTCAATGCAACAAATATAAACAAATTTAAAAGGTGGAAGAGAATAATATTTGCCCGGACCCTGAGTTGTCGGCTTTGAGTAACTATATTGAGTAACTGTATTAACGTCTCAAAATAAGCTGCTTTAAAGCCAGCATTGATCATAAACTACATCTCCCATAATGCATGTCAATCATGCATGGGAATTCCCTGTAGGAAAGTGGGAGAGTTCAGAATTCAAGACAGTAACTACTCACCACAACTCAACAGTGAGTGAAGCTCTCTTACTTTTACTTTTAATAGTATTTCTGTATAATTTATTTCACTTTTAGTCAGTCATATATGTAATACCTTTCAGTGTTTATAAGAGGTAGGGATGGGTACTTTTGGCATTTGAATCATTTGGTACCAATTTCTGGTAACGGTACTTAACGGTACCAATTTTCGGCACTTTGTGTGAGTTTTTTTTTATAATAAACTTTTTTTTACATATTTCTCAATATAAAAAATTAACAAATATCAAGACAACATCCAACTCTATGTATTGTAACATCAGTTGTGTAACTTATTTCTTTAAAGTGCAAACTCTTGAAAACAACTAACGTAGTGTTTTGTCTTATTGCACAAATTAAAATCCAGCTCCACGTATTTCTATTTGTCATTTCCCACTAGAAAAATCGTGTGATGGAGATCCATGGAAGGCAAAAAAGTTTAAATCTAATAAGCAAAAGAGGATTGAATTAAAATGAATAAAAGATATTCAAGCTACGTTTTGAGCATCCAAAACGTGTCCAACACTTCAAGTTGGCTGCTTGTGTTCATTCAGGTCAGACGTGTTCGGACTGTCGGGAAGCGCCTCTGTTGTTTTCCTCTGCCGGTCTCTGTTTAATGGTGGATGAAATAAAGAAAGTGGCGGTACTTTATTTACTTTGAGCAAGTGAACGTCATGCTCACAAGATAATTCATCCACCAGATAATTCAGAGGTGGTCTGTTCGACGAGTTTAGGAGGTGCGAGGCTTTCAAGCTACGTTCAGACCGAACTCTGTTTACTGAACCAGCGGCAGCTGACATCATTACGCTCTTGCGCTATGCTGCATTCAGGACAAGCACGGAAAACTTACCACTCTTACACCAATACAGTCACAATGATGCGTTTAGGTACCAAAACATGGTACCGTTTGACGTTACACGAATAGGTTCTCGGTAGTACCGACAGAATTCGGTCTGTACTTAAAAAGGATTGAATTCGGTACCCATCCCTAATAAGAGGACACATTAAAACACTGTTCCTATGTAGGAAATACCACATAGAGCTCAGTTATTGTTTGTTAGAGATGCTCAGCTGTAGCAATGAGACAAGGAACATAATGTTTTTTGTTTAGTCGAAATTAAACATCAAACGCCACAGTTAATTACAACTGGCCCTTTGAGGGCCACCATAAAGCTCATGGGGCCCTCTGTGAAAACGAATTTGACATCCCTGCATTAAGATAACATGCAACCACAAATTCATAAAACGAAACAACAAAGTGAACCATCCTTTCCTACCCTGACTGTTTGTAGACCGCTGAGCTGTAGACTTCCTCAGTCGATCTTTGCCAGGACAAGAGGTGACCCCTGTGGCTTTCCGTTTGCTGTGCAACTCGTTGACATACTCAGAAAAGCCAACCCTCCACGTGGAGATCTGGTGCAAACGCGAGTGAGAGTAGTACTCCGAGATCAGACCGCCTGTCTGTTCCAGCAGAAGATCGGAGGTCTTCAATGAGGTCTCGTCGGTGGGCGGATCAGGTTTGGCTGTTACGGAGGTTGTGCTGAGGAACGTCAGGTCAGATGAGAAGGCATCTTGGTGACTCCCGTTCAGTCTAACCGAGGACTGCAAAGTGGAGCGAGATGAAACGGATGGAGGAGTTTGCTCAGAAACGGCTGGGACCTGAGTGTGAGGGTGGAGGCGTTTAGGCAGGAGCTGGATGTCGTTGGCTTGTAAAGCCTCGTGGGAGGTGGGTGGTTTATGGCCATCGGCTCCTTGTGTGCAGGGTTGCTCCACAAAACCAGGTAGGAGGTCAGACTGCTTTGGAGGGCTGGGGGGGAACTCATATGGGTCAGCGTTCATCTGTTTTGGAGGACTCTGAGGTTTATCTGTTGATTTCTTTATTTTACATTTAGAGACGTCCCTGTGAGATGAGAATGGATCTCTAACGAGGGACGAGTCCTCTGACTTTAAGGCACCGTTAAAAGGATGAACGTGTCCATTGCTCAGGGGGGCTTTATTCACCCCCTTTGAAACCCCATCAGAACAGAAACCATCTTCTCTACACTCTTGCATTTCATTCATTTTGGAATGGCTCGTGATATCCAATGAGGTCTGCAGTACTCCATTTCTATACAACAAAATACATAAAAATATAAGTTCACATTAACTTAGATTTCCTAATTCTGTGAGTAAATAAAAGTTAAAAAAAGATCTAACTTTTTATTGCATACTCACATTTTTAATTCTTCTCCAAGCAGGTGAGCCGGTTGTGGAGATTTGTGGGGGTGCTTTGTGTGGGTCTTTGTGTTGCATTGGTTAGAAAGTGGGTTTGTGAGTGAAGACCTGCTGTGCCGGGAATCTGAAAGCTGGCTGGACTCCGAACGACTCAGTTTGGGGTTAACCAAGCGAGCTTTAAAACTATGCTGGGTGGACTGCAGGTTGGCTTCACAGTGGACTGGGACAGGGATGGAGTTGTTCCTACAGCTGGATGAGGATCCTCCACTGTGGGAAACAGAGAACTCAGTGTTCTGCTGAGGCAAATGGAGCTTTTGATGAACACTCGGCTGAAGGGGGCAGTGGCTCGATCCTGCAGTCTCTGAGTTGTGGTGCCAGATCATGCCAGAGAAGAGCGTGTTCTTCTGTTTAGCGTACAGCTGGTATTTTAAGTGTGGCAGGAGGTGCCCGGCCTTGATACTGTATTAGAAACGACAAATAGAGATTTTAATCTAATATTGTACGGATGTGATACTGAATGTAGAAATTCTTCTCTTGCAATAAACTCACCTGTCGGTGATCCACTCTGGCCTGATGACCTTTTCCCCCTTGAGATCCTGAATTTTACAGTTGGGTAAGTTGTTGGCGATGATGTGAGTGGTCTTAGAGCGTGAGTAATACATGTGGAACTGACCTCCATGCAGCATCATCAACCTGCGGAGTTCATCTGCACTTGGCTCTGTTCACACCATAAAATAAAATAAAAACAGTATGGCATTAATTTGTTTTCCAGACTCACATTAATCTATTTCATATTTAGCAAGGAACAGATACCAGACACACACACACACACATACTCACTAACACTCACTCCTGAGGTCAATTTGGAATTCACAATTCACCGTATAAGCACGCTTTATGACTATGAGCAAAAGTTTGTAAGACAGATCAGGTTGCTTTGAAAGAACAAGGTAGAAGTGGCATGCCTCTGCCGGCCCTAGAGTCATCGGCATTGAAAGCACTGGACATGAAGTTACCTTTACCTATATTTTGGGACTTAAACATTCTAAAAAGTATGTAACTACATCAAAAATGTCTAAACATGACTTCATCTTTGATATTTACCATATCATTTAACCAGGTATTTTATTTGTATTGTCGAGGAATTAGAAAAAAATGCCAATTTTATGTTACCAATCATCATAAACGACCTTGACCTTTGACCCTTTGATGCCCAAATATAATCAAACTCAGTACTACCCTAAGGGTAAATATATGATTTCATGTAGGAGACATCGTGCACACAAGACCACCCGTGACGGACGGACACTGCACTAATACAAAAGCAGCCAGAGAACAATATGCCTCCGGACCCAGTGGGCAGAGGCATAATGAGAGGAAAAGTCTGCACATAAAAAAAAACTAAAAGTCTGCGTAGCTGAAATCTGAGCTATTTCGAAAGCCTTCAACAGCATCCTGACATGCATAATAACAGGCTGAAGATCATCAATTCATCAGGATGCAGCATCGCCTTGTTTCTCAGTGTCAATGTGAACCAACTCCCCTGAAAAGTAGTAGTTTTTAAACCACACTCGCTGTCTTCAACTGAAAATCTAAGCATTGCATCTTTGATCTCGTGCGAAATGACTGACAGATGTTTGTTATTTGTTAGAGAACCCTCTTCCTTTGGCTTGATTTATATTTTTAATATTTTTTCTGTTCAATTGAAAGTGTTGTAGTATCTTTAAAAAATGTCAGCTCAAAAGCTGGGGAAAAAAACCCAGCCGTTATAAAAGGAGAAATTAGAAAGGTAATGCAGAATACTAAGACAGAACCTGAAAACATTTTCTTCCTTTTGCTCCAAAAGGTTATTTGAAGAGATTGTGATGCGTTGAAGGCAAATGAGACATACAATAAGACGATGAAAGGAGTGTGTGTGCAGAGTGTTACCTGTGTATCCATTGACATAAATAGCCACACCGCTGAAGATGCCGGAGCATGTCCCTTCTTTCTGTTTTTCTCTCGGGGCATCAAGTTTAAACTGCTCATCCAGCTTTGAGACCTTGGCAGCCATATAGCCGCCCTGTGTGAGACAAAACACAATGAAAAAAATAAAGAACTGTTAAAAAACAAACAGTTAAAACATCAGAAAAACTATTTGGACTGTTTCCATCAACCAAATTCTCTGCAGCTAACTGCAACCACACAGTTTTTTGATATGTCAGAAATGACTATAGATGTAATTGTCATCCCAGTTAAATGCACAATTTATAATAAGGCTGCACGATATTAGGAAAACCTGCAATGTGCGATAACAGTGCTTAATATTGCGATAACGACATGACGCAATAAATAAACAAATACATAAGTATGTAGTGTTGATGTCTTTCTGTTCTGGGTTCAGATTAAAAAAAACCTAGTCATTTCCATTTCAGCATGAATTTACTTTTTAAATATGAAGAGAAACATCCAATTGGCCAAATGTGTGATTGATTGGTGAAAAAGTTCAAGCTTCCATCTGAATGACAAAACTTATAAATGCAAACTTTTGAGCCAACCAAAAAGAAAAAAATTTGTAGGTCCTCTGGATGGGTTCTTCTTTAGTGAAACGYTTCGTCTCTCCTCCAAGAGACTTCTTCAGTCAGATGAGTTTCAGGTGAACTCAGCCTTAAGGCTGGGTTATAGTCGTGCTTTGGGTTGTCGCGGAAGCTCTGCGGAGCGGGCGCGCTCCTGAGCCGCGCGCTGTGTGAAAACATAGTTGACGTTCATGTTATCACCGACAGACAGCGGTACGGTGCCAAAGCAGCGGAAAAGTAGCCGAGAAGAGTGTAGAAGAAGAAACGCTTGACGTCACACATAACAAAGTAACAATATTTACCTCTTTTTCCATTTTATCAGTTTCTCTGTGCTTCACGAACTGAGAGAGCAACACTGGTTTGTTTCCTCCAGGATCACAAACCGGTTGTAAATATTTTTCCTTGTCGTCTGGCATATTAACTCATCTTTCTTTGAAGCCGTTGCCATTTCCTTCCATGAGTTTTGTGCCATCTGGTTGTCTTTATGATCTCTCCTGGAGGGATTATACAGATGCCGGTACATTCGGACCTGTTCAACGAGAGCACCTTTGCGACGAGTGGCGCGCAGCCTTTGCGGACCTTCAAAATTTTGGAGGTGCACAACCACGCGTCAGGACACAACGTGGGGCCAACGCGCGGGGGTGGGGACGATGCAATTGCGTAACTTTTGACGCAAACCCCCTTGCACCCTGTGCGTCGCGTCAACTATTACCTAAGCTTTAAGAGCACTGCCTCCACATGGTGGACAAACAGGTTAGTCACATGCAAAAGAGGACCATCGCTTAACAATAGGCTTGATTGGCTCTATTGTTCATAGAGGGTTATGTGCCCCATCACCTGACTTATTGGTTTGAATGCTGCGGTTCTTAGGTGTCGTGTCATGTGTACGTAATGAATGCTGGCAGGGCTCAAAGTCCCCTTGGTTTTTTTTTCCCCTCTTTGTGTTGGTTATCATTGGGGCCCTGATTCACACCTTTTGCTCACAGGGGGCTGAGTCATACTTGCAATAACAGCGTTGTAGAAGGAGGACAACTGGACATGAAGGCCTCCAACTCTGTTTAATGGTGGACAGTTTTTCTTCACAAAGATGGCTTMTTTTACTCCTCTCTCAAACCAACGTTCCTCTCTATCAAGGATGAGAACATCTTCATCCCTGAAAGAGTGACCGCTGGCCTGTAAATGAGTGTAAACTGCTGAGTCCTGACCCGACAAAGTAGCTCGTCTGTGCTGGTTCATTCTTTTGAACAGTGGCTGTTTTGTTTTCCCAATGTATAACTGATCACAGTCCTCCTGACACTTAACAGCATATACATTACTCTGTTTTTGCCGGGGAACTGGATCTTTGGGGTGAACTACCTGAATAAGTCAGGTGATGGGGCACATGACCCTCTAAGAACAATAGAACTAATCAAGCCTATTGTTAAGCGATGGCCCTCTTTTGCATGTGACTGACCTCTTTGTCCACCATGTGGAGGCAGTGCTTTTAAGGCTGAGTTCACCTGAAACTCATCAGACTGAAGAAGACTCTTGGACGAGAGACGAAACGTTTCACTAAAGAAGAACCCATCCAGAGGACCTACCGTACTTATTTTTTCTTTTTGATTTTTTTCTACCTGGATTACTGAGATGCATCAGGACATTTTGAGCCAAACATTTATTCCAGTTTATGCATTCTTTTTATGAGATATTGCACAAGCTGTTCTCATGATAATGATAAATTTTCAATACATTTTGCAGCCCTACTTTATAACCACAATATTTTCTAGGAATAATGCACAACTACTCATATAYTAAACTGGTTGTTCGCTAATAAACATATAACAAATTCTATCACAAAATAATTAGCTACTGTGCATCAGTTAAAACTTAAAATCAGGTGTTACAACCTATGCAATTTTTTAAACAGGTATTATAATCCAAATCTGCTACCCGTCTTATTGCTGTCTGGCCTTTAATATATCTCTACTGCTGTTATGAGCTATACCAGAAGTCTGAATGCATTGATTACTGTAATGTTGAATTTCATCTCTAATTGTACTTCATTACACAAAGAAGGGCCATTACCTCCTTACATTTCTCATTGTTAAATGAATGGGCATGATGGAGGGGAAGCACAGAGGCCAGCTTTCAGTTTCCAACTAAGGGAACACTCTGCATAAACCCACTGCATTATGCTGCTGATTGTTTATGGGCTTCGTGAAGCTCTCAGAGCTGTATGGGAATACTCACCCTTTCAGCCCAACCATTGTCTTCACTGGTATTGGCTTTCTTCTTCATCCATCCATCTCGACTCATACTGAGCTTCCTGTGGGGGAGAAAAAAAAAACTCTTGACCCACTGGGACACATGTCAAAAATGCACTCAAGTACCAAGCTAAAACTGTTTATAAGTTTAAATACTTACCAGCTAACCATTATCTGTCATTACCTTAAGACTAACTAGGAGCCTAAAATCCTTATTCATTATTTTTGTTCTTTATGAAAACCTGTTTGTGCTAGCCATGTGGCACAGAGTGCCACTGTTGCCATTTGACAAGACTGTCATGTCATAAACTATACATATAATGGATTAATATGACCTCAGAACAAATGTTAAGGCTTTGACTGAGCTAAAAGTACAGCTTTATGCTTAGTGAGACAAGCCTGGGCAGACTTCCACTCACTGACAAGAAGGACACATAAACACAACAACAACACAGTCCCATGTGGTCAGCTGCTAACATTAGCCTAGCTCCTCGAATCATTTYATAATCCTGCATGTCGCTGCGCCACTGTGTGAACCACGTCAGTTCAATAAGGACCAGCTTAAATGTTTTCACTGCACTTGCTAACATGCTGAGAAAAAAAAATAAGCTAGGAAACAATAAAAGGGGTGTATGACTAACTTGAGCTTTGGGCGCTGTGCTAATAGTAAACAAACAGCAGTGTTGTGTGAGTGACCGTTCGCAGAGAAAAGTCCCTAGTTTTTACCTCTGAAGCTGTCAGACGAGACTGTTAGTCACAGACTCTGCAGATCCTGCTCGGTAGAAACGTTGCGTGCTCTCTCTGCTTGGGTTAAACGAGGGAAGACCAAAGCAAACCGAAATAAAAATTCTCTGCTTTGGCAGCTCGATGCCAAGGCTTTGACTCTGCAGGTCAGAGAGGTCCTTGTAGGGAGGTGAGGTTCATTTATTGTGTCATGCAGCCACGCCATGGCTCTTGAACATTTTTGTTCCCAGTCCTTTCGCTCTCCATTTCTACCGCCTGATCCATTTACCGTCTCTTTTCTTTCTCTGCTAGTACTCAAGCTAGCAAGGCGAAAATCAAAACATCCGGTATGTGCTTTTCAAAATAAAACCAATGTTAAAAGCCGTCACGGAAAACTTGAAACATGGAGCAAAATTACAGAGAAATAATTAAAGATACAATTTTGATAATAATTCATAAGCTTAGTTAGGAATTTTTGCACACTTTACTACTTTAGTATTCCTGCTTGCCACAATACATGTTTGTTTTGCATCTTATTTAGAAATGCAAGACACGCCCATATCCTGTTTATTGACGCGTTTTATTTCTAGCTTGTTTAGTGCCATCCCGCCGGGATCTTGTTTTCAACTTCAAATTGTGTACTAATACTGCCACTACGTGGACAACTGAGTGAATGTCTCTTGAATTTATCACTGTAGTAGTTAATGTAAGCTACAGTTTCATTAGGCACCAGAGTCACACAACAAGCTAATCCTTAACTGTTTAGATAGAGCAACCTTTTGTTGTTGACCATTATTCAGCTCACAGATAAAAGATTTATGTTACAGTCTGCTTTCATTCAATCGATCAGTCTGGTCCAGAGTTTATTTATTTGTTTTCTTAGTACTTGGAGCGACGTTGTCCCCAGATGGCACCGCTCTGTCGCTAGGGCAGCAGAAACGCTGTGACGCAGAGACACGTGCAGCTACAACGAGCCAGTAACATCATCACAGTGTCAACAAATAGTCCTCCTCATAAT